AAGGAAAATGCATTGCTGTGGTATAATGGTAAATAATAATGAAAAGTTAATAAAAATGAATAACTAGAAGTCTAACACTCTGTGTAGTTTGACCAATAATTCCTTTATTTCCTTAATGTCATCTAATTTCTGCTGTTTGTGCGCTGCCCACAGACTAGTGACAGATATTGATTGATGCTGAGTGATCTCCTGGTTCCTGAGTCAATCCACATGGATGACACCTGAATAAAACGTCTCTTTGAACAGCTGATTGGCAGCAGTTAGTGCCGCCGCCATTAAAACGAACTGAATCAGGAGCAGTTTGATGGTTTTACTGGAAACACAGGCAGCCTGCATGGAAGGAAAATACACATCAGGCAAACATGGCGTTCTGTTATTTATTTAACATTTATCTAAATAAAACATTTTAGATGTGAATTTAACATCCGTGTTCAAATTTCAGCTTAGATTTAAAAATCAAAAGCATCTAAACCAGTCAGATAAGCTGGAAAGTTGATAAATTGAAATAAAGATTATTTTAGTGTAACTGTTTAGATATATATACATATATAATATGATTATTGGAATTCATCGTTCAAATAATTAAATTAAACAATATTTAACAAAAAATGCATCATTAATAGTGATTTATTCCCCTAACCCAGTGCTGTTCAGCCCTGGCATGTTATTAGCACCATTTCTGAGGTCCAACAGTAGAAATGGCCACGTCCACCTAGCATAGTGATGTCATCATACAAAGGTGTACCAACATCTTTAAGGATGAAGATGCAGCTTCCTCTTCACTGACAGCATCTTATCCAGTGGGGATGGGGGGGTCATCAAAATTAAGCTAACGGGGTAGCATCGCAAACATTAGCTGAACTGCTGGCTAATGCTAATTCATAAGGACGTTTGAAGTCTTTGTCATCCCTACAGTTAACCAATGTAATCAGTAGTAATAGCCAAGCAGAGTAGCGCAGGTGATGCATTCACTGTCCTAAAAAAACTGGTAAATTTGGCTCAGAGATTCTGCTTAGTAATGCAGATCATGGGGGATTTAGAAGTAGGTATACGCAGTACACCCGCGTATACCCTGGTCTACACCACTGAGTAAAGCTGAACCTACTTCCTGTGTTAAAGTCCTTCATCAGCTCAAACATTCAGATAAGAACAGAGGCTTTTAGTTTAAAAATTATTATTTTAAAAGAAAAAAAATCTCTTTCAGCACTGGTTCAATTCCAGATGTTCATGTATTTATCTGCAACACTGTGCTTTATGAAATATGAAAGATTTTATTTCCTAGAGGGTGTTTGGCGCTAGTTTGAAAGTCCATTATAGCGGGTCTTCTTTCAAATGTAATTTACATTTGCAATGACAACAACAAATATCCAAATCCTGAAACCTTTGAAATCAACGTTGATGGAAAAATCAACTCAGCTGAATTTCCTTGAATAGAAAACCTTGTCTGGATGTTTTAAATGAACCGTGTAATAAAGCTCCTTTATATGACAGATGACACTCCTATTACTATTAAAATAAATGGAGAGCATTTGCTGCCTTAAGAGGAAATATATTCAGATTTTCTTCTACTACTTTAAGAACTTTTATATTACTGGTAAATAATCCAACCTACTTGTTCTTAATTATTATAAACTTTATTATTGGTGAAAGGGACAAGTTCATCAACCAAATGGCTCTGAAGCTTCTTCTCTTTGCATATTTAGCATGTGGATGCAGAACGTTCCAGCTGTTTCTGTCCTCTGCTGAATCACTCAGAGCCTCTAAAATCCGGAGATGGATGGTGGCAGGTTTGAATCAATGTCTGACCTTTTTGTCCGTCTTGCTCTCAGTGCTCTGGGCTGCCCTATCGTAAAGAAAAGGAAGCTTCAGGAGGCTGAAGCTGAAGAAAACCCATCGTCTCCCAGGAAGAGGCTGCCGCCTACCAAACCGGCAGATGAAGACAGCGACATGGCAGAAGAGGAGGAGCAGAAAGACGAGGAGGATGGGGAAGAAACGGACGTCATTAAAGACAAAAAGAAAAAACAAGTCAAGAGTGAGATAGAAAATGGTAAGTAGTTGATTAGAGGGACTGATGGTTCTGAGTGTGTTCACATTTAGACATCAGCTCATTCTTAAAGGGTAACTAAACCTCATGTCAAAGAATATCCTCCCAGACCAATGAAAAAACACAAGTAAGTTGGACAAATATACGGACAGGATGGATGTGGTCAGAAGGGACAGATGATTTGATATAACTACATAATCTAATTACCGACATCTTAAGTAAATTAAAACATTTTGACTAATAAGAAATAAAATGCTCAACTGAAAAATCAATCAAAGCCTCCTGTCATCAACCCTGGAGGCTCCACAGCAGCTAGCCAATCAGTGATCTCAATTTGGCCCTCATAGGATGATATAGCAGACATGGAAATGTCATTTTAGAAAAACATTCTGCCAGGCTCCGAACAATAGGACCCAGCATGCGCGGCAAACAGACAGATAGATTTAGTTAGTTCATTAGAAATGCACTAAAGCTCTGCAGGAAGAGAACACAGGTTAGTGACCACATCTACCTGGAGGTGGATAATTATGAACACGAGTCACTAACCTGGTCTTATAGTTCAGTCCATGCCCAGAGGGTGAGAACGGTTCCAGCTGGTCAGCTGCCAAAAAGATGTGGCAGGAGCCGCCCAGAGAGACGCTGAAGTTCTAGAGGAAGGAGAACAAGCAGCAGATCAGAACCAAGCA